ACCCAAAACACAAAAATAAATTCACCATGGATGAAAGACCTAAATGTGAGACAGGAAACCATCAACATTCTACAGGAGAACATAGGCAGGAACCTTTCTGACCTAGGCCATAGCAACTTCTTATGAGACATGTTGCTAGAGGCAAGGGAAACAAGCAAAGATGAACTATTAGGACTTCATCTTGATAAAAAGCTTCTGTATAGTGAAGGAAACAACCAACAAAACTGAAAGGCAGTCTACAGAATGGGAGAATATATTTGCAAATGACATATCAGATAAAGGGTTAGTATCCAAAATCTATAAAATATTTACCAAAGTCAACACCCCGAGAAACAAATAATCCAGTTAAGAAATGGGAAGAATACATGAATAGACATTTTTCCAAAGAAGACATCCAGATGGCTAACAGACACAGGAAAAGATGCTCAACATCACTCATCATCAGGGAAATACAAATCACAACCACAATGAGATACCACCTCACTCCTGTCAGAATGGCTAAAATTAACATAAGAAACAACAGGATAAGGCTAGGATAAAGAGAAAGGGGAACGCTCTTACACTTTTCTCCTCTGGAGAATAGTATGGAGGTTCTACAAAAAGTTAAAGAAAAGAACTACCGTACAATCCAGCAATTGCACTACTAAGTATTTACCCAAAGGATACAAAAATACAGATTCAAAGGGGTGCACATGCCCTGATATTTATAGCAGCATTATCAACAATAGCCAAACTATGGAGAGAACCCAAATGTTCATAGAGTGATTGAATGGATAAATAAATTGTGGTATACATATATAATGAATACACATGATATGTAATGAATATTCATATATAATATGAATATTACTCACAGATTCATCTATATGAATATTACTCAGCCATCAAAAAGGAAAATCTTGCCATTTAAAATGATGTGAATGGAGCTAGAGTATATTATGCTAAGCAAAATATGTCAGTCTGAGAAAGACAAATACCATATGATTTCATTCATATATGGAATTTAAGAAACAAAACAAATGAACATATGGGAGGGTAAAAAAAAAAAAAGAAAAAGAAAGAAGAAAGGGGGAAACTAACCATAAGGGACTCTTAAAGATAGAAAAGAAACAGGGTTGATGGAGGGAGATGGATGGGAGATGGGCTAGACATGTGATGGGTATTAAGGAGGCTACCTGTTGTGATGAACACTGTGTGTTGTGTGTAAGTGATGAGTCACCAAATTCTACACCTGAAACCAATATTGCACTGAATCCTAACTAACTAGAATTTGAATAAAAATTTGAAAAAAAAAAAAAAAAAAAGACTCAGGAGAGAAAAAAATGAGCATTTAAGAAACATTGACAAATAATGAAATTAATGAAATGTATGGTCAACTTTTGTTTTGTACGGTTAATCTTAATAAGCACTGCTATGTGGCTGTGAAATAAGAAGGAATTTCTAAAATAATGTGTGCCTGCATGTATGTGTATGAATGTAGTCTTGTGGCCAAAGTGCGTTAACATGATGATGGAGCTAAAATTCCATATTTATTTTTAACAAGAAGTTTAAAAAATTTGGAAGTTGTAAATATAAAATAATGTTTAGTTTGTTATGCCATGTAAAAAGTAAATGAATAAATATATGTATATTTAACAGCAAGGTGAGAAAATTTGCCTTGTCAGTCATCATGACATATAAAACTACAAAATTTGAGACCAGATGATATAGGGCAGTAGTAACAACGAGCACTCAAAACTTTAATACAGAACTGACATACAGACCCACACATATGTGAAATGTTACTATATCACAGAGGAAATGATAGATTAGAAGGGAACATAATGGTGCTAGAATGACCGATTATCCATACATATGGCAGCACAGAGCAAAAGAATACATTGATTGGATTGGCTCCTTGTGTCATAAACAAAAATATATTCATTCCAGATGGATTAAGAATTTAAATGTAAAAGACAAAAATTAAATGTTTTAGAAGAGAATTTAAGAGAATATGTACTTGGACTAAGGAAGATTTCCTAATGACTGATTGGGATGTTTTTATGATAGACTTCATTTCACTAAAATAGAGCCTCTTTTCCTCAAAATAGACTATAAAGAAAATGAAAAGCCAAGCCACAAACTGAAAAATGCTATCATGTATATAACTGAGAAAAAGATTTGTATCCTGTATATATAAAGTCCTGGAAATCAAACAGAAAGAGAAACAACCACATTAAAAAAAAAAAAAAATGTGGTATAAACAGGAACAGACATTTTACAAACTAGCAAACATACATGACCAAGTGACATTGGAAGATGGTAACCTGTATTAATAATCAGGAAAAGAAAATTAAAAGTGTAATGGAATTGGATTTTACAACTTTCGTATTTACTTTCCATTTCACAATAAAACACAAATATGAAATGAAGTTGATTTCTTTAAACTGAAGAAAACATTAAGTTTATGACTCACTCTCTCCCTAACTATTTTATCCGGGTTTTTTTTTTTTTTTTTTTTTTTTTTTTTTTTTTTTTTTTTTAAAAAAATTT